GAAAGCCGTGCGCCGATTTCTGGGCCTGTGTGCCTATTATAGGCGATTCGTGAAAAACTTCGCCCGCATCGCCGATCCTCTCACTAACCTTACCAAGGCCGACGTGGAGTTTAAGTGGGAGACGCCGCAGGAACACGCTTTCCAGGAGCTTAAACATCGCCTCCAGACGCCTCCGTTACTTGCCCATTTCGACGAATTCGCCGAGACAGAAATACATACTGACGCAAGCAGCGTAGGTCTTGGTGCCGTTCTTGTGCAGAGGGCTGACGGACTTGAAAGGGTTATTAGTTACGCCAGCCGATCACTATCCAAAGCAGAAGCAAATTATTCCACAACAGAAAAGGAGTGCCTCGCCATCATCTGGGCTACGTCAAAATTTCGCCCCTACCTCTACGGCAGGCCCTTCAAAGTTGTGAGCGATCACCACGCATTGTGTTGGCTAGCCACCTTGAAGGACCCTTCAGGTCGCCTCGCACGATGGAGCCTGAGACTTCAAGAATATGACATTACTGTCATTTACAAGTCCGGCAAAAAACACTCCGACGCCGACTGTCTCTCTCGTGCGCCTGTAGACCAACCGCTACCCGACGACCCGGATGACGACTACTTCTTAGGAACGATAACTACCGACGACTTCGCTGAACGACAGAGGGCCGACCCGGAACTTAAGGCCCTAATAGAATACCTCGAAGGCCGGACCGCCGAAGTTCCAAAGGTATTCAAGCGCGCACTTGCGTCGTTCTTTCTACGAAACGGTCTTCTACAAAAGAAAAACTTTTCACCGCTTCGAGCTAAGTACCTCCTTGTGGTGCCTTCAGCTCTGCGACCAGAACTCCTGCAGGCCCTGCACGACGATCCGACGGCAGGGCACCTCGGTGTTTCTCGCACGCTCGCGAGGATACAAGAATGGTACTACTGGCCACGTCTTACCACCGACGTCACTCGTTATGTGAGAACATGCCGCGACTGTCAGCGACGCAAGACACCGCCGACAAGGACAGCGGGACTTCTGCAGCCAATTGATCCACCTTGCCGACCTTTCCAGCAGATTGGTATGGACCTACTGGGGCCGTTCCCGACGTCGGCTTTCGGAAACAAGTGGATCGTGGTAGCTACCGACTACCTCACCCGCTACGCCGAGACAAAAGCCGTGCCAAAAGGCAGTGCATCCGAGGTAGCTAAGTTCTTCGTCGAAAATATCGTCCTACGTCATGGCGCCCCGGAGGTCCTTATCACCGACAGAGGAACGGCATTCACTGCCGACTTAACTCAAGCGATCTTGGCATACAGCCAAACAAACCACCGCCGGACGACAGCGTACCACCCACAGACCAACGGCCTCACCGAGCGGCTTAACAAGACGATCGCCGACATGCTGTCAATGTACGTCGATGTCGAACACAAGACGTGGGACGCCATTCTTCCGTATGTGACCTTCGCATACAACACGGCGGTGCAGGAGACGACGCAGATATCTCCATACAAATTGGTCTACGGAAGGAGTCCGGCAACGACGCTCGATGCCATGTTACCCAACGTCACCGACGAAGAAAACCTCGATGTGAGCGAGTACCTTCAACGCGCCGAAGAAGCCCGACAACTTGCGCGTCTCCGTATCAAAAATCAACAGACGACCGACAGCCACCGTTACAACCTTCGACGACGCTTCGTGGAATACCAGCCCGGTGAACGTGTTTGGGTGTGGACGCCGATACGCCGACGTGGACTAAGTGAAAAGCTTCTGCGACGGTACTTCGGACCGTACAAGGTGGTTCGACGTCTCGGCCCACTTGATTACGAGGTTGTCCCCGACGGCATCACGAACTCTCAACGACGCCGATCGCGACCTGAAGTCGTCCATGTCGCGCGGCTGAAGCCGTTTCATGCGCGTTAACAAACTGAACCAGTGTTTTTTTTTGTATTATTGTTGTATCGGAATTTATTCATTGTACTTTCTTGCATCATTATTGTACTTTCATTTTTAGTTAAAGCATCGGGACGATGCCTTTTTTCAGAGGGGGGCAATGCCACGTTCCATTTCCCAAGTTTTTGTTATCGTCCCAAAACACCACACGATTCTCAGCGCAAACCGCGCCTGCAGTTTTCCAGAAGGTTCCGGACTGTAGTAGATCATTTCGATAAAATCACGCCCACTGTGCGAACGGTACAGATTGTTCTGGAAGCTACGCCACCGCCAGCGATAACGCTAGAACATTCGACGGCAAGAGTATAAATGCCGACGCGCTTCGCCGCTTGTCAGTTGTTGATCGAAGGCCGACGCTGCGTTCGCCGCTATCAGTCCGAGACTGCTATCTGTGCAAGACTGCTGCTGTAATTAGACTTTCCCTTTACCGGGCCCAGGTTCGCCCAAATAAACAGTTAAATCCCGACACGAAGTTTTCTGTCTTTGGCCACGTCACGACCCCGTGACAATATTTGTACAATAAAATGGCTGAAACAACAATATTTTCGATATTTGCAATAGTATAGAGGAAGGATGAGTTATTACGTTTTCTAGTGAACGGGATTAACTTGCATTAGAGGCGTTAAGCGACATCTACCAAGCTCCGCACCACCTGTAGGTTTCATTAAGGTCATTTAGCAGTACGGAATGATCGTTAATAGATTGAATATTGCGGTAGATGACGCAGTCATCCACAAACAACCTCACTCAGGATGATAGGTTAGCGGGTAAGTCTTTAATGTATAATAAAAAGAGTACATGGACCCAGTACGCTGCCCCGGAAAACACCAGACGTGACATCGCGAATGTTAGATGAAGTGTCGTTAACCACCGTAAATTGCTGACGGGATGAGAATAAGTTGCGCATCCAAGGCAATGTTAATACATCGATACAGAGAGAAGACAATTTAGAGATTAAACAATGAAAGACAACATCAAAAGCTTTCACGAAATAGAGAAAGAGGCAATCGGTTTGATCGTTACTGTTCATATTAAAGTGAATCTCAGTGCTGAACTTGAACGACCGAATGTCGCAAGAGTAGCCTTTCCTAAAGCCATGCTGATTAGAGAGAAAAAAGTTATTCGATTCAAGGTGATCATATATATGAGAAGCTATAAGATGTTGAAGAAGTTTGCAAGATATGCATGTTAGAGAAATTGGTCGATAATTACGGGGTGAGTGTCTGTCACCTTACTTGAATACGGGGAACTACATTGCTGATCTCCAAGTCATTAAGCAACTCACCGGATGAGAGAGACTGGTTAAAGATAAAACACAGAAAGTGACTGCAAATATTAGTGGTGTTATTCAGTATTTTTGTGTTAAGTTTATCAATGCCTGATGAAGTAAAGACTTTCAGATTCGTGATGAGGTTCGCGATAGCTTCTGCAGTGGCGGGGATAGGAGTTTTTTGTTTTGTTTTTTGAACTTAACACCACATTGTCTTAGCCCACATAGTTTCAGCATGTGGACCACTGCTTTACTTTCTACCGTATGCTGATGAGTAACTGATACGAGACATCGCCTATTAGCTATGACTCGGCATATTGTACACAGCTTACGCACGCATCAAGCACATCGTTCAAGAAGTCACCAGTTGAGTTTTAGAGCGTTTCCTGTGTAAGCGAGCGTGCATATTACTTAATACATATCATTAGGAAGTACAGACATTTGCCGTAATACTCTTCGTTTAAACTTATGTCTCCACGAATTCTTTGCGGGGTGTTTGCGCTACAAGGTACACTGGGTTACGAAGAGGGCCGTCGAATACAACACATGATGTAGGCCCCAAAACGGGAGCGGGGGTCCGCCAATCGACAACCATGTTTACGGAAGCTCAATATAACATTGTAGGTCTTTGTGACGCATGCTTTATTATTTGTAACCTTCCAACTTTTCTCTACAAATCAGTTCTGTGCCTATGTTCGCTATAGCATAGGAAAGGAAGATCAGGGGTGGGTACGAGTACTCGTCTGATAGAAACACATCGCGCTTCAAATTGTTCTATGCGTCTTCCTATATCACTGCCGCTTTCGCGCACTTTCATAGAAACATCTCCAACCCAATGAAATTGTTAATGTTGCATTCGGTGAGGTTTGTCGCGTTCGATTTAACGCGTAATTATAGGCGTGATCGATCTTCTTGCACCTCAGGAAATCTGGCCTTTCGACAAACGCGTTTAAAAGGACAAATGTATTATTTCTCTGTCACTGTTTCTAAAACATAGTCCTTTGTTTTTACAAATATTGTATTCTTTATTTTTGTTGTCCACATATTGAGGGGAAAGAACATTAAAGAATGACTCTGCCACAGTTTCCAGTGACGCTGCTGTGTAGCACATCCTTTGTTCAAAAGGCGGACAAGCCACTCAAGCTGAGAATGCAATCAACGGCGAGTGTTGTTTTTTTTTTTTTTCAGGGGCGGGGTGTTTGTAGGGGGGACGGGGAAGCTGTGATGTATTCTGTAAAGCAAACATTTACGTAGCTGAAATATTTGTCTCCAATTGCCGATCTTTACGAAGCATTTTCGGATAGAGGCTTGTCAGATAGCACTAGTCATTTTATTGTGATTGTACGCCTAGATATATTTTTCATGGTTACTAAGAAGCCTGTTCTGGGTCATTGTAGTTGGTGAGAAAAATGCACATGAAATTTTATTTCGGGTATAAGGTACGATAATAAAGTCGTTGACAAGGTACACCAACCGCAACACAGGAGCTAAAGCTCAATCTATTCAAGGTTTTCGGATCAACAATGATCATCTGGAATCCAGTGCTCAGAAGCAATACATGGGTGTTTTATTCCCATATGTGTGTAGCTGTAGCGGATGGGCTGAACGCATGACTTCGTGCTTGCAGATCTCAGACATGCAGAATTTACAGTTAATTATCAAGTGCAGTCACTAATTATAGCTTTTGAGGCTTTTCCTGTAACTCATTGTCTTAGTTCCAGCACAATCATAAATTACATAGTAAAGAGGCGTGCTATTAGTTCAAGCCTGTTTTCTACCTTGGCTAAAATGACCAGAAATGCAAACTTGTTTGTCAGGATGACTTCTTTTTATTTAGGAAATTGTTTTAGTTTGGGACTAACATTTTTCATACACGTATTGTATAACGGCACCTTACAAGGTCTGTAGCGACATACTACTCTTCATTCTATTCTGTAGCGACATACTATTTTTGGGTACCATCTTCAGTCTTCCTGACGGCTACCTTTGAAGCGAGGCCCCGAGGTGTTATCGGTACAGCAGTTCGCAGACCGGGAGATAGGCGTCTTCCTGCAAAAAAAAAAAGTAAACAAAAGCTAACATCATTTCGTAATCTCTCTCCCCACGCAACGATCGCCCCGTTTCAACCATTTGCGGCTGAAAACTTGAAAGTAAAGCTTATAGCAACGTCCATGCATATGCGGTAATTTTGTAAAAATCTACATTCTAGGTACAAACGTGTCAGCAAGTGTACTTATAGCTCTTTTTGTTACAAAACAGACTATAGGATAACACTGTGTGTGGACCGGCAATGAAGTATTTGAGCAGTGATGAGTATTCTGAGTTTTTATTCCGGATGCATCGCAGTGAATAGCCTGTAAAAAGTGTTACATTAAATTCGAGCTAACCAACGACCCAAACAAATCTATAGGAAAATAAAGTAAGCGAAAGTGGTCACGCTGCCCATGGTCCGGACTGTGATAACTCTCCATACCCATCTTCGTTTGTGGACCTCACTCGCTTCACTGTCCACTTTGATAACAAGCACCCCGATGAATGATGATGATGAATCATAGCAGCATAGTGCGGCGTGTGCACCTCGTACTACGCCGCTTGTTCTAAAAGTGTAAAAGCTGTACCTGTTTATTCGAAGACTGTAAAACATTCCTAGAGGTTCCCTCATAAGCAATCTATCAGCTGTAGTAGATGCCTACAAACTCTAAAAACATAAAAACATGTTTAATAACAAGAAGTAACTGATATTTATTTAAAAGCCTGATAATTAGTGGTAGAGATCACAAGGCATATCAGGCTTCGATATAATCTTTAGAGTGACACCATTTTCTAGTCATTCGTTTCGGAAGCATGATGAAAGACACGTACAGATGTGACAGTTACTTCCCTGCTTCAAGGCACAGACCAGCATCTTGTTTCAAGTTTAAGTGGGAGAAACTGGAAGGCGCGTTTGCGCCGCAAATCTGATGGTGCATAATGCGAAATAGGCCCAGCTCTAATATTTTATTTTGAGTCGATATGCATGGAAAGCACGCCGACTACAGTTACCCAGTTGGGACGTGCCGTAAGTGTAATAATTAAAATATATGCGCGAATTGTAGTAAGTTGACTACTAATCGAGGTTACTTGTAAATATCTGTGGACGACCACCATGCTGTTCAGTTTATTTTTGATGAAACTTCTTCTTTTTCTCGATACTTCGATCACCCCGCCGCAATGGTCTAGTGGCTAAGGTGCTCGGCTGCTGACCCACAGGATCGAATCTCGGCTGCGGCGGCTGCATTTCCAATGGAGGCGGAAATGCTGTAGGCCCGTGTTCTCACATTTGGGTGCATGGTAAAGAACCCCAGGTGGTAAAATTTCCGGAGCCCTCCACTACGGCGTCTCTCATAATCATATGGTGGTTTTGGGACGTTAAACCCCACATATCAATCAATCCTTCAATCGATACTTCGATCTCTAAGAATTCTGAGAAGTCTTCAAAAATGTCAACCCTTCCTCTCCCCCTCTTCCCCCGAAAAGAAAAATAAGAAAGGAAAATCCACCAGACTACAGCTACATTCTCACATCCTAAACCATGCAGGGTCATCAGTGAGGCGAATTGGACGTCATCCGCAGGGCGAAAAAAAGTGCGAGTGCTATAAGTGGTTCGAAGACCATAGTTGTCTTGCTTAGAAGACTATAAGAATGTCACCGCAGTAGTCGCAGTGGAACAGCACGCTGAGGTCCAGGTCCATGGTTTTGAGACGAGAGGCTGCTTGCGCGCAGGTTCGTCGACTGATATCGAAGAGGACAGTGCGATATCTGACCGAACGTCTCCCCGCGGGCCCCATTATATACCGGTGTCTTTTTTTAGAAGCGTCACGTGATCGGATAACGCTGGGGCGGATGCGCCAATCTGAAAAGAACGCGACTCCCAACTTGGTGCGTCTGGCCGACATGTGATCAGCTTTCGTTTGCCATCTATCGTGATGTTCCAGTTCATTTGTGTTGTCACGTATACATTGCGCGCGTCACGTACAAATAACGCACAGGCATCAAAATTTAGTAGTTTTACGTGCCAAACCCCGGGTATGACTATCAGGTGGGCCGTAAAGGGAGAATACCCGTTAAAAAAATACTCGCGTTCATGCACTCGGCAATGTTCTCCAAAGGTGGGGTTACCGGCTGTGTGGATCATGACGTCATACTTTAATGCATTTGGTGCAGGCTTGTATGTGCATAAGACTTTGAGGAGGAAACGCAGGCCTCTGAAGTTATGCCCGCGTGTGGGGTAAACATTAACCGGAACCTGAACGTAAGTACACTGGTGTTTTAGCATCCCTCGCCCCTCCAGCAAAACGAGGCCGCTGTGTTCGAGAACCCGTCGACAGTCCCAAAGCTAGATAATTAGCCATTCCACTCTTTGTAGGTGGATGAGCCAGTGCAGCTGGTTAGCACGTGACACAGAATTGACGTCGACCAAACACCCTTCAAGTAGATCCGAAACGTCTGTCCGAAAAAAGTCCCTTTTGAATTTATCGCGTGCTTCTTGTTCAGGTTTGCCATTTGAGCAGCATGGATGTTTTTGCTGCCGTGACATGCGTCGTCTTGTAGGGCTGCAGCTGCATGCTCATGTGACGACTGTGGTTAAGAACAGGACCGCCTACAACCCGTGCAACTGCGAACCTTGGAAAAGGTAACTACGAATCTGCTGTTATAGTGCACATACTAAAGCAGTGGTCTCAAACTCACCTCACCTAGCGGGCCATAGGCACGATAGAGTAGAGGAGAGCACAACACTGTGCGTGCACACAATCACGCTTGGGGATTGGCCAGAACCGGGTAGTCTGTAAAAAAATTCTTGAATTATAAGTTAGATTATGTTCCTTACAATAATTAAAATACTGAAAAACAAGAAATTCGCATGTTAGGAATAGATAAAGATGAAATCCATATATGAAAATGAAGTGAAGAAATTGAACCAACAAATTAAACAATTCGGAAAACCAGGGCATTACTAGTTCAGAATGATTGTCCAGCCTGCACTCTCTTTGAACGCCTAATAAACATTGACGAGGCACCGACAACCTTAGGGTCACTGTACGCTAAGTACGAAGCCACCAACAAAACCACATTGAGCGTATTCAAATCTAATCTGAGGAATCGAACGAAGGCACCAAATGAAATTTCGGGCAACGCGTTGTAGTACCTTTTACAAGAAATGACATGACAAACTGTTTTCTCGTGGACTCCGCAAAATCAACAATTAGTGTAAGCTGCAAGAGCAGCTCTGTTTAAATGAAAGTTGAGGGGCAGAGGTTAACAATATTTAGTCCTTCAAAGGCCGGCACCGTTAAGAAGGTTGGGGCTCGCTGGTGGCAGCGGGCAATTTGAACAAAATGCCAGTTAACGTTGCCATTTGGAAGGAGGCCATCGTCATATTTTATACATGGGCCATATCAGAAGGCGAATTGACGTCGATATTTGAGAAACACGCCGATACCGGGCCTTTTCCTCTGCTCGCCACCTCCTGTCTTCTCTTTCTTTCGAAGCGGGGGGTGGGGAAGGGGCGAGGGGAAGAGAGATGGAAAACATGGTATTCTCGGAGGTGAAGCCTTGGTTCACTGCGAAGTCACCTCTTCGGAATTCGAGGGAAACCTTCTGCAACGGCCTCGCTCCCCTGATAAGGGCAGTAGCCCACAGAGGGTTGAAGGTTCATGAAAGTACCTACAAAAGGGGGGAAAAAGACGAAGACAGTCATGTAAGAGCCGCGTCCCCCGTGTTTGAGATCCATTCTTACAAAGTGACCAGCCGGGTGTTCACCTTTGCGTTTCTCTTTCGAAGCTGTGTAAATGCCATTGTCACTGGCTGGCGATCTGGTATTTGCAATCGCATCATTTTTGGCTGTCCAAATACTGCATCCAGAATCGTCGTGTTCATTTGCGCGAGCGAGTTAATTGTCGCGTCCTTGGCAGAGAGTTAGGACAAGCAGACGGTTCGGCCTGCGAAGGCAGCACTATCGTTCTTGCTCGCGTATGGAGGGCTATAGAAGCTGCACTGGCGTCAACACCGGTCGATAAAGATTGATTGCCACACCTCATTGATTCTTTGTGTCCTTTCAGTACCGTTTGTTTCGGCTCTTTCTTACCCGAAAGTGACAGTGGGCACTATCAGAAGTACTCGACCGCATCAAATTTTATTTATTTATTGCATACTGCCAGCCACCTCTTGGTGGCCAAGGCAGGAGTGATACAAACTTTCATACTTGCAGCCACATATAACACTACACTTCACGGCGCAGAAATGAAATCACCACATAACAGGTTTGCGTGGAACATGAATACTCGGGTTACAGGAGCAACACAAGAGCGGTATCGAAAATACAATCCAAATTTTTGTTCCTAACACGAAGTGTAAAAACATCATTAGAAGAATTGAAATCTGCACATACGACCATACAGCTTTTACTACAAACAGGCAGTGGCAGCTGATAAGAATGCGTCGGGCGCTGCGATGCTGGTGACGTCATGAGGTAGTTCATTCCAGTCGGAAATTGTTCGTGGAAAGAATGAATATCGCCGAGAATTTGTTTTTGTAAGCGGCACCACTATGGTGTTATCATGCTTGTTCCGAGTTTTTCGCGATGTATTGTACTGCATATAAGTGTTAAAGGCGAGTCCTGAGTGTCCGTTGACTATGTTATAAAGGAATTTTAAGCGATGTAGCTTTCTACGGGACTCCAATGTGGGAAGAGCAGATCTATTACGGAGTTCAGTGACTGAACAGTGTCTACTGTACGCGTGGTAAATAAACCGAAGGGATTTATTTTGGACTCGTTCTAGTAAGTATATTTCTGTTTGTGCGTGAGGATCCCATACAACGTCAGCATATTCCAACAATGGGCGTACTAATGTAGTGTAAGCGACTAGTTTTGTTTTGCTGGTGCAGTGCCTCATGCGATGCTTTAAGAACCACAATCGCCGCAGTGCTGCTGATGTTATACCTTCGATATGAGTTTTCCAGCTCAAATGAGAAGTGATTGTCAGACCAAGGTATTTGTACTGGTTAACGGTTGTTAAAGCAGTGTTGTTTAACATGTAAGTGAATTCCGAGGGATTTTTTTACGTGTTATGGTCATCTTGACGCACTGTGCTATGTTGAGGCTCATTTTCCAGGAGTTACACCATGCTGTAATAACCGATAAGTATTCATTTAGGGTGGCGTGATCTGTTCTTGATTGAATGGGCAGGTACGCAACGCAGTCATCCGCGAAAAAACGACACTGCACAGTAGATTTGGATGACATGTCATTTAGATAAACTAAAAATAAAAGTGGTCCTAGGACAGAGCCCTGCGGTACCCCAGAATGCACGGGAGCGGAAGAAGAATTTTTATCTGCTATCCGAACGTGTTGGTGTCGGTGGGATAGATAACAATCAAGCCATCGAAGAATTATTTCATTGGTTAGGATTCGGCGAATTTTAAACATCAAATGGGAATGGGAAACTCGGTCGAAAGCTTTTTCGAAGTCTAAAAAAATCGCATCAATTTGTCCGCCTTTGTCAAGTGTTTTTAGAAAGTCATCAGTAGTGTGAATTAACTGTGTGGTGGTTGAAAAGCCTTGCCGGAAACCGTGTTGATTTGGGGAAAAAAATGGTTACTCTCCAGAAATGAACTTAAGTGTTTGAAAAGGAAGTGTTCCATAACCTTGCCGGCTGTACATAACAACGAAATAGGGCGGTAGTTTTTCACGTCATATTTATCACCTGATTTATGAATGGGTACCAATTTACCCTTCTTCCAATCTACTGGAACTTCGCCTTGTAACAGGCTTTCCCTAAATATTAAGCCTAAGTATTTGGAACACCACTCGGCGTACCGATAAAGAAAAGCATTAGGTATTTCATCTGGCCCAGCCGATTTTTTTGTGTTAAGATGAAGTAGAGCTGACAAGATGCCTTCATCTGTTAAAATCAAGTCTGGCAGTTCGAGATTGTTTACGTGGAAATCAGGAGGGGTGTCATCCGTTCGCAAAAAAACAGAAGAGAAGTAGTCGTTAAATGCTGTCGCTATGCAGCTGGCATCAGTCACGTCCGCGTCCTTGGTTTTAATTTTTGTCACTTTCACTTTTTTGTCGGAGAGGTGCATCCAAAATTTTCTTGGATTGGTTGTGAGAAAGTTGTGCATTTTTACGTTGAAGAAATGAAATTTGGAGCTTTTAATCTTGTTGCGCAGTTCGGCGCGGAGGCTCGTCAGAGCAGCACTACGTGGTTGTGTTTTTGAGCATGACAGGCGTTTTATCTTGCGTTTTAGATGGAGTATTTCGCGCGTAATCCAAGGACTACGGCCGTGTATTTTTTTCACTTTCTCCGGAACGAACGAACTTATACATTTGTGAACGGTTGTCTTAAAGTGCGACCATAGCTGGTTAACGTCACAGCGATTATGAAGATGTTTGTTAGTAATTTTGTCATACTCCTCCTCTAGGAGGTCCAAAATACTTTCGTCCGAAGCAGTATTAAAATTGAGGAATCTACATACTTGGGTAGCCGAGGGAGTACACAACATGTTGGTTTTAAATATTACTAGTTCGTGGTCCGATATACCTGGTACAACTTCAATTGTGTTGTTAAACTTGCAAATAGACTCAGAAACAAAAATAAGGTCCAGAATCGAACTCGTGCCTGCAGTGACACGCGTAGGAGTCTTTACAAGTTGCGTCATGCTACAGGAAAACGCTATATCAAGTAGCAATTCGGAGTGCTGGCAGGGTGTTGTAACGCAAAAGTGATCCCAGTTTATTTTTGGCAGATTTAAATCACCTCCTACAAGAATGTGGGTATAACGTTTGCTTTGTTCGAGCAAAAAATCTTGCAAAGCTTCGAGTACCGCTATATCGGAATTGGGCGGCCTGTAGACAGCGCCAATGAGCATGCTCAAATTTTTATGCCGAAGAACTATCCAAGTCATTTCGACGCACGTCCCGTGCAACAAAACCTTAAAATCCATGCCCTTTTTCAGCACTATCGCTACACCGCCCCCCTTTGCACCTCGGTCGTGACGAACGATTTCATGAGAGCTAGGAATTACTGCCGAGTCGGGAATGTCATTTGGAAGCCATGTTTCAGTAAGGATTGTGACGTCGGGATCATAAGCAATGAGGACGCTTTCTAGATCGACCGATTTGTTGACGACACTTCGAGCATTTATGTTTATTACAGAAAATGTTGACGGGACCGCGTGAGAAAGTGGAGCCGGTAGCGTTCGTTGATGCTCCAGATTGCGGCTGTGTTGCTGTCACTGCACAGCTACCGGGACCCTTGAGTTCAGTGAGTCATCCCACCGATAAAGCTTGCCGATAAATAAATAGCATTGACGAAGTATGTGTACGTGGGGGCGATTGCCAATCGATTCCTCGCGTTCGAGCAACTTGTCAGGTCTTTCCTGAGGCGAGGGACGTCACAAAACACTGCGGGAATGTCGATAGTTCGGTATGTCGGTGACAATGGTGACACGGTCCATCGCTACACCGCGCAACGCTTGCCTTGTGCCAATGGTGGAAACAGCGAGAAAAGTGTTGCGACAGTCTCTTATCGCTAAAACGACTCCGAGGTGCAAGCCCAAGTGCCGATGAATTAAAGTATGAAACATCTCATTGTGTAGTGGCTCATATGAGTGATGCTTGTCGAGTCTTCTCTGGCGTCACAGATCTATACTCGGTCTACGACACAGCCCATATGTCTCGGCTGAGCGTCTTCTGTATACCACACACTGTCTGCGTTGCTACGTAGCCGTTATCAGGGTGAAGCCAAGCGAACAGCACCCCATTTCGTACTCTTAGAAAATAGCCGCTGCCACTCTATAAATAATTCTGTTAGATTTGTGCTAGGCAATCACCATCGAACCGCGAGCATTACTAGAATGAAATCTGATTTGGCCCTCCCATCTCTCTCCACTAGGCGTCAAATTTCGCGACTAACTATTTTTTCATAAGCTGTATCACCACCCCGTGCTGCGTGGCGAGCTTATACCTAGGCCACACTATCAATCAAGTCGTGTTGACCATGCGCGCAAAGTTGGAATTGATATGTGCAAAACAATGCATTGCTTTCATTTTTTCTTGCCCCGGACAAGTCGCGACTGGAATCGCCTTCCTTTTGACACTGCATCCATTAAGGACGTCCAACAGTTTCGAAATGTTCTAGATAACATTGTATAATCAGGAGTTCTTCTAATGTTCTTTAATTACATTGTATTAATGATGTTATTGTATGTTGTATATTACGTCTTTGTGCTTTTTTTTCTTTGTTGTTCCTTGCTCTCACACCACTCCCCTCTGTAATGCCTTTGGCCCTGAGGGTATCATAAATATATAAATAAATAAATAAATAAATCCTCACTTTTTTGTTTTGTTTTGTTTTGTCACCTTATAAAAACTGGCTCATATTTACTAATATTTTCAAGGCAGTATTTTTGTTTTTCTCTCTCTGCGTGGCTCGTACCCAGTGCAGAAAATTGGCTGGGCAGACGGTGAGTTTTTTTTTTTTCAGTATATTCTGCGGTGTCATTCATATAATTTAAAGTGAATATACTGATTTGAAGTATCAATTTTTAGTGATTAAATAGTTAAAGCCGGGCTAATTCAGCAAGATATTCTTTTTGTCTCTCTCTGCTGCGCTAGGGGCCGTCGTCTCAATCTGTGTTCTGTACCGTTTCGCATTCACGCTTTTGCGAAAACGAATTTACCGAAGTTCTGTGCGAAGTGCCGTTTGCTTGAGAAATACGTAGCTTTCGCTTTAATGGAACACGCGGTTATAGTTCTCGGTGCGGAAGGATTACATACAGCTTCAAGACAGGAGAGAGGCCGTTTATTGGTGCACCGGGGCACTCCCTGTGTCTCAGCCGTAGAATCGCTTACGATTCTGCGGGTGATTATCTTTCTGAGATAAAGACAATTTCTTATTAAGGTTTATCTTACGCTACTTATTTATTTTCGTTCACAAATGACCCGTTTCTTTATTTTTTTTCATCAGCTGTCAGAACTTTCTAATTATCGAGAACATTCATCGGGTAACATCAGCGGTTTTATCACGTGACTATTATGTGACTATTCACGTGATATTCAACGAATCACGAGACTATTCGGTCCACGGAGCAGCGGGATTTCGCCCTCACGTATGAATCTAGTTTTAGCGGGAGTACGAGGTGTATGCGAAGGAACGACATCATCATCAGGAAAGCTGAAAGATAATCGGAATGAGAAGCGGAGGAAGAAGAAGAAATGGCCGACCACGGGAGTGGTGGCGAGTCCGTGGCTCCGGCTCCGACCCCGATTCCGAGTCCATCGACGTGTGCTGGACTGCCTTTGCGCGTTTGCCGCTTCTGCCAGGGCACCAACGACCAGCTCTGCATGGTGACGCCATGTCACTGCAAAGGTCAGTGCGATCGATGGTGTGCGCTGGCGGAATGTAGTTGGAACGAATTCGGCCATTGTACAGGTGTGGTGGAGCCTCGGCTGCACCTTAGGGGTGACGGTGTGATATTGAGTGTGACAGATCGTCCTTTGACTTGAATGCGATTCCGTTACATTCATTGCTCCCGGCACACTGACCAACCACGCTTTTTTCGATACGAGATTTAAGGTAACGTTAGGCGGTTTCACTGAGTAAACGCTAGCGTTTGATGTTCGTGGCTTACAAAACGGCGTTAAGGTTTTTTGAAGTTGTACTTCAGTGGCCTGGCAGTGAGGAACGTTTTCGTTTCTTCTTGGCTCGGGCACTTTTGGTTTCATGAATATTCAGGAAATGCCTAGTAAAATTGAAAACAAGTAAGAAATTGTTTTTTTTTATTGTAATAAAGAGTTATGATGGATACATTTGATGTCGGAGAATTATATTATTTAAACCTAAGGTCAGTTTGTTGTATAAAAATTAATTAAAATAATTTATTAAGTTAACGGAAGGACAGATGTTTTCTTTTGTTTGTTCTTGTTTTCTTTTCGTCTTTTTTTTGCGAGTGGCCTGAGGAGCCTTTATCTGCGCGTCTCTGTGCCACGTGTTCGCTCACATGAAGGCTCTCTAGAGCAGCTTAACGTTCCTAGACAAAACTATGGACGTCAGAGTAGCTTAGATTGTGGCGGCATCTGGCGGAGAAAATCTTAACCTCCCGCTTTTTTTTACGCGGCCTCCAAAACCAGTTGAGGCAGCACGCGAAACACAAACTTGCTCTGAGGAATACACCGGGGTGCTCGAATGTCAATACGACTATCGGACACCTAAGTAAATAATTAGGGTCGCCTCCAGATATTTATTTACCACCACCACTTCGAAGAGCACTGCCATCCAATTAAAGTACTTCACTACTGGTCTCTATCTTGCGCCATCAGTCTGGTATTGAGCGTACTCTTATTGCATTAGTTCGTAAACGCTAACCTGAGGCTGTGCAGGAGACCGTAAAATATCGTTTTTCAGATGACAGACAAGCGGGGAGCCATAGCGTGGTAGACTATCAATATTGCATGTGTCGAGTTACCAGAGATTTATTAAGACATTAGCAACATAACGACGCTCATGAGTCGTGACCTTTAACCAGAGCCTCCGCAAAGCGAACCATTAAATTTTTCCCTGAGCTGATGAACTCTCTTCTTTATGTATGTTAGGCAAGATCTCTGAGTCGGATAACTTTTAATTACTGCGCAGGAGAGCTCGGCTACGCCCACGCCAACTGCGTTACAACCCAGGTCTACCAGCACAATTTGTACTTCTGTCCGGTGTGTCGCTACGACTTCGTCATCCGTTGGGAGCAACAAAAGGTGAGCGTGCGCCACATGGCACACAGTCATGCGCGGTTTCGTCATCTCGAGAGTTCGTTGAATTAGTGGCACATCTACGTAAAAGTCGACAATTGGTTGTGTTTCCAGACGTCTAGCTACACCTCGAATTGATTTCGAGTGCCCTGAGGAGTTCACGTAAATGATCGTTAAATTGGTAATCGGTCGTGACAAGTTCCTATAATTGTGTGTATATATGCACGATTTCGCTACCTTTATTCACGCCGCAGAATATGAAGTTCTTAACCAGTCAGAATATTACGCAGAGCGCGATACTCAATCCTATGGGGCAGGGCGAACAAACGCAGTAATACCCAGGGTCTTACTAGTCAAAACCACGATAGATTATCACACCTCACTGGAGGGCTCCAGAAATTAGGACCAGCTGGGGATTCCTTAACTGAGCACTGGCACTACAGTTCACGGGCCCGTGTCACTTCACCTTAATCTGATTGTGACCGGCGCCGACACGATAGAGTTCACAACATTAAGGTCAGCACTCGCGAGCACCATCACCAGCTGTGCCCCAGAGGCGGACAACTCCCAGACGGAGCCGTGTTTGCACAATTAGACGATTTTGTGTCCTGTGTTGTCGTTTGAAAGTAATCCAGAAATATTTTGTCTCACTGCCCGTGTGCTGTCTCGGGACGTCATAAGCAGTGATTTATTTGTATCCTGCATGTATTGTCACTTGTCTGATTGCGATGTGTGTGACGTCGGAAGAAGCGCTAACCGTAAGCACTAGTTGTGTTAAATGATAGCGTACGCGTTAACTTCATGCGTCGGTTAGCGCCGGTTTTGCTCCGCGCAGTCATTCCGCGAGTGGCTCCTGAGCGACGAGACGTCAGATCATCAGCGGCGGCTGCTGTTCAACGTGGCGCTCGCCGTCTCGATGGCCGTAGTGCTGGTTCTGGCTTGGCTGCAGGCGGCTCGCACACTGGCCGGCCTGCCGCGTTTCATCGCCTTCGTGGCCGCCATCTTCCTCATGCTGCACACGGCCTCCTGGATCGGATACGCATCCTACAACTTCTGGTCAGTGTCGGTTTCGAGCATCTGCGTAGACGAAATAAACGGTGACTGCCGAAGGGGGCGAGGTTAAAAAAAGAAAAAAAAGCCATCATAAGGTTTCTAATACATTCACTTAAGACGACTTGAAGGTGAAAGGTGTCTTTTTTTTTTCTCAGCGGACGTATAGATCCTCCCCTCCCCCCTACGAAAACTACTTAGGAGCGAAGCTCCTAAGGCCCGCACCCCACTGTCGCCGTCGAAGCTCCCAGCGCCTTGCAAGAACGCCAAGCAAAACAACAGGTGCGTGCTCCTGGCGCAGCGGGAGCTCAGGCGCATCGACTGATGGCTCCCGCTGCGCCGCGCACACCGCACACTCACTCGTTGAGTCGCTCCCGCCCCCGAGCGCAGCAAACGCTCTCCCCTATCCGCTCCCCACCCTACCGCCTTCACGAAAGCCAGTAGTGGGATCAGGCGCAGAGTCGTTTGCGTCCCTATTTCTAAGGAGCTTCGCTCATCAGTTGTATTTGTACACGAAACAACCGCTAGTCATTGCACCAAACTTGATTTTGCACTGCCTCTGTGATCGGTTCAACTTTGACCAAGCGACGATGTCATGTGATAACATCATATGTGACGTCGCTTTACGTAACCCTATGGTTACGTCATGTTGACGTCACAAATTTCGGCGATCTATGATGGCAGGGAGCCGTCATATAGGGACAGTCATTGTGCGATGAGGATTTTTATTTTTTTTGCACCATACGAGTCAACGCCGTTGACAGTCAATTTTTGCGTATACGCAGAGCAGACACCTATGCATTGCGTCTTAAAAACACGTGGATTAAGATAGGAATGCGTCCTTATACGTTCTCCCGCTCTTGACGACAGCGCTGTGCTGTTATCTTTGTTCAACATTAAAAGGTCATCTGGAATGCCAGAGACGTGTAATACCAAGTGCATTAACAGCATGCACAAGTCGCGCTAGCATGAATGTAGTTCACATATGTAGTTCACACTTGGCACTCAGATATTTTGTATTACCTGTGCAGCTTATCTCAAAAGCGGCACCTCTTGAAGAGCACCGACAGAGGAGACGCTCGTTATGGGGCCCTTATGTGGCACTTCGTTGGCATGACGTCGACATCTGCTTAGAAGTCTGCATGAATCAGATGGTGCGACTGTACTCGATAACATTTGATAATTTCAGCTCACTTATTGTTTGGCTGTCTGATGGAGTACGCAAGAAAGCCATTATGTGAATGAGGACCAGTATTTCATTGCATTGATTCACGTTAACGAGCACCGAGTTTGGCCCGCTTTTACGTTGTGCTTCGTTGTGCTTTGCTTGTGCGCCCTGTTAACTGTAAGGGGGAGGTGAAGTTTTAACTGCGAAGTTTGGCTAGGTCCAATTTTTGATTGCTTGCCAGACAGATTGGTACATTTCTTGAACTCCCACAAGCGCAGTGCCTTTTATTATAGCAGTGGAAGATTGCCTACATTTGTTCTAAGCACCCGTATTTTCTAAGCACCCTAAATTTTTTGCATAATGCTCCTATTATTAAGATTACCCTACATATATGTCACCGTGTATAGTTTAAAGTATTTCCTTCAGAATGTCTTCATTTTGCAGGCTATATTTCCTGGCTTACCTCAACTGGAAGTCTCTTCCCCTCTCGACGGCTGGCACTCCTGCCCGTTGATATTGCTCCTCGGCACTCTGCTCATCCACGCACATCAACACGCAGCTTGCGCAGCCGCGCATAAGAAAGTTGCGTGATGCATTACCTATGCCGGTCAGCGCAGTGGCGCATTTTACAGTGCTATCAAAATAAATATTCGTGTAAACGTTAACCGAAATATTGACAATGTCTTGTCTCAGTCATACATGCTGTTTCTTTAAAAGGCCGTTTAAAAGGCCGTTCTTTAAAAAACGAGCACTACTGGTCTGTTCCACGTTTGGAAACGATGGTATACGCGCCGTCCACATACATGAGACTCTTGTACCGACGTCGCGGTGCGTGTACTCCGCCCCACCCAAAGCTCCCGACCGCCCTCAGTGATCACGTGACAACTGGCACAGTGGCTGCAAAGCTGTCTCTCTCCCGAGTGGGGAACGAACCCCGGTCCGCTGCGTGCCAACTCGGTATTCTACCACTGAGCCACACCGGTGCTTGGGACTTGTTCGCTATAGCTTGCCTTAGGTAGGCTTGATGTCGGGAAAGGAATCGCGTTAGTATGAGTAATGAAGCGTTTTAGAACAGTAAAAGAACACCGAGGTGTCGCACAATGTGAATAGCGTAACGAGTGAGTCGTTTAACACTCCAACCCATTACGAAAGCTTGTTGTTCATCACCTATTAACTATGGCGCATACCCACTTAAGCACAATTCCTCAGTAGTCGTCAGCCACTGCATGAAACAATTGGCCCAAAATTCCTTGCAAGTGTTTAGTGGATACCACGCTTCTCCGAAGAATTACGAAGAATAGCATAGCGAATGCCGGCCCACTACCGAGAAATTATTATCATTAATGCTGTGAATGGTTGCCCAGCAACTGTGTTTGCATCAGTTACCCAATGAGAGTTTGGAAAAGGCTCTGAAAGGCCGCTCTTCTAGCTTTCGCTGTGACTGTGCTGCGCCTTCCATGCAGGCCCGGCAGTTTCTCTTTTTTTAACTTCCTTTTTACCCGTATTTACGTGTAATTCGCCTCTTTTTTTGTGGTTTTCCCACTGCATGCATTCGAACGTTTTTATTAAATAAACTCGTTCATTTCATTTGTGATCTATTGCTTAGTGTTACACAATTGTGGAAGCGTAGCTATTTGTACACAGCAACTGTAACTTTAACAGATTACTTTTTCGACCCTGTATAACTGTAACTGTAAAGCTGATGCATTTTATTGGTGTAATGGTACAGTGCCCATGCACTGATATCAAGTAGCTTGTCTTAGGGACACAATTGTAGCAGTGGCACTGTAGTCAAGTGTTGCTAGGCAAGGTAAACTGAAGTAGCTATACATAGATATCTTGAGGTGAGCCCTTAGACAAATTATGTCAGGCTATTCTCGCAGTTATAGCTTGAAACTGGGCAATTTAATTGCACATTTGCAATAGTTTGCTTGCAGATAAGTGTAGATAAGGCGTTCACTGTAACGTATCGACACTTCTCACTGGAACATAACGCTTCTCTAGATTCAGATGTTGGGAAGACAGTTTACATTCGCATCCAGCGTGGTTGCACGAAATGTTGAAATGTGAAGGTGAAATCAACTTTATTCGGTCCTGGAGAACCCGATCAGACCAACACCACCTACATCAGACATCCCCCCAGGGGGGGGGGGGGAGGGGGGCACCGCAGTTGTTGAGCGCGCCCATGCCGCTATCGGAAGTCCATGGTCCTCCGTCCGTTCGCAGGCCTACTGGTCTGCCGAGAGTTGGACAGAGAGCTCGGAGCTCTTAAAGACCCTCTCTCAGTCTTGTTTTGTGCTGAACTGTGCTATACCTAACGCCGGGCACTCCCAATGATATGTCGTGGCCCATTAGGCCTCGCGGCGTTATCTCTACTAACTTCATTTTTATCAGCTCGCCTATCCTGATTACGAGGTTGTGCATTATTTGTTGCTTTGGTTGTCATTATTATATTTTGTTCAATTTAGTCTATACTGTAACCATTTGCTCCCTGATTACTAACCTTACACACTACGCTGTTTTGGTTGTTATTATCAATGTCTAGCTTGACTTATTTGTACACGATGTACTCCCATGTGTACCTCTCAACCCACTTCCTGTAAGGTCCCGTGGCCCCACCGCAGTGGTCTAGTGGCTAAGGTACTCGGCTGCTGACCCGCAGGTCGCGGGATCGAATCCCGGCTGCGGCGGCTGCATTTCCGATGGAGGCGGAAATGTTGTAGGCCCGTGTGCTCAGATTTGTGTGCACGTTAAAGAACCCTAGGTGGTCGAAATTTCCGGAGCCCTCCACTACGGCGTCTCTCATAATCATATGGTGGTTTTGGGACGTTAAACCCCCATATCAATCAATCAATCTGTGAGGTCCCGTGAAAGACTGGCAGTATTTGACAAATACATAAATAATTACGTGCAGAGTACATTAAGGGCCTGGGCTGTTCTATGCTGTTGCATGCCTGCCGTCACTTGGCATAACGTGTACAAAACCACGTATGAAAGAATAAAGAAGAAGCAAGGGAGAAATAGAAAGGGAAAGGTAGAGAATGAATAGGAAGAAAATGGAAATAAATAGACAGAAAGAAGAGAAAGAAGAAACTGGGCAATAGTAAAGGGAAGAAAGAGAGCAGGAAAGGACTGGAAAACCCCGAGAGAAACAAAAAATTCGGCAGATCCCACGTACCTGGGAATCTACGTTATGCGAAGCAGGTGGAGGGAATGTGACCATGTTGCAATTTTTTATTGAGCGACACGTCATGAAATGACGCTAAATATATGTACAAATGTTGCACGCACACACATATGTTGAGTGGTTGCAAATGTTTATATAACCAGTTCTCTGCACTTGAGCGACGATGCCCACTGGAACATGCGTATTAGCAACACCAGAAGCTGATATGAAGCGCTGATGTTCGCGAGGATGCTGGCCCTGGACACTGCTACACAGATGAGCTCTAGTGCATGGCAACTAACCACAATTGACTTTCACCCGAGGTGACAGCTGTATGAAATGAGTACATATGTAATTTTTTTTTATAAAGTTGGGTCGATAGCACTGCAACCACTACTGGCTTTTCACGAAGATTGGCGTCTATTTGAAACGTCTCTTCGTGACATGGCGTAGCTCTGTGGTAAAATGTTTCATTGACACGCAGAATCCCTGGGTTCGATTCCAGCTGGGACCCTAACATTTCTTCTTTGCATTCATTGGGTCGACACTGCCAGTGTCTGGTATTCCTTAATGCTCGCGCATTAAAATTGACCAGTGTGTGTTCTCGTCGTTCCTCGGCAGATGCTAAGTGTCGATCACCTGTGGCACATACCCGTATACCAGCGGCACATACCCGCCCGTGGGTATGTGCCGCTGTCTGGCGGGAAGTGTTCGACGGCGTACGCGACGGCATAGTGACATTATTCATATCTTGACCAGTGCGTCATATTCGTGAAACCATCTTACCCTCCCATGTTAATTTTGGTTCATGCCAAGTTAAGGGGGTGACTCGAGAGTACCCAAACGTAAGCGGCTAGAAAGATAGACAGATAGATAGAAACGCTCAAAGTCGCCGAAGTTCGCTAAAAAATGCTTCGCATTCAAAAGGCTGTCCAGCTCCGCGCTTCCGTGAGCCTTGGCAACACTGGTGCAAGGCGACCTCATTTTCTTTCTTTTCTTTTTTTCTAACACTCGAGCTGCCTGCATATGTATGTTCACGGTCGGACGTCTACCATAAAACATGAATGGACCTCCTCGAAGGAAAAAAAAAATTCGAGGCCACTTGGCGCATTCACGTGAAAGACCTGGCCTACGAGTGTACGCATACCGCCTTCCTTTCCCTTCCAGACCATCCATCGAGCGGTTGTAACGCGCCGGTGCCGCGCCACTGAGGAGCCGCGCCGATCAATCACACCGCGAATCAACCTTTGAAACAGGTGCACTGACGGGCTCGAACTTGCGTGAGTGAGGAGGAGCGGACCTTCACCCGGCAGTGCTTTGCTGTATAGACCGCTACGTAGGCGCGTATGAAAGAGAAAGCGGTACGTGCACACACAACGACAAACGCGAGCCGCGGATACAGTGCCGCTCGATATATACCCGTAGCTGGCCGCAGCCAGGGGGGGAGTGGGTGGGAGTGTCGCGTTTCCCTCCTCATGGCGGATGTCGCGTGGCCGCCGTCGCTCTGCTGCGCCGCAGTCGCACAGCTGCACCGGCGTCGTCGTGGTCACCTTTGCGTCTTCGTTTGCAACGCGCAGGAAGTCGGCACGTTCCGTGCCGGTCATCCTGCCGACACTTCCGTGCCGGCTTTTGCAAACAGCCCGCAAGTACAGGAACACGCAGCGAATCGGAGGTGAGCGAAAAGTATATGCTATTCATAACTACGCGCCGTAACGCGAACGTCGAAGTTGCCGGCGCGCCTGAGCCTTCGAGAGAGGTACGTTGTGTGACGATGTGTCGTGTATGAATGACGAGCGGAGTGTAGTTATTGATCGCATGTCATTTAACCGCTTGCAAAACCGGGGGAGAAAAGTACATCGAAGTCGGATGGTGCGCTCGATACTGCTTGGTAAGGCTCGAATTCTTGCAAATATTGTAGCAAGTTGCATCACTTGATTACTCTTTTTTTTAGTAGTATATTTATTCATAGCTTATCAAGCATGCTTACAAAGGTGCGAACGAGCCTTGTCGCGTTTTCTGGGGTAACAGAGCAGGTAAGGTGTCGCACTGCTAAGGATCTAGGTCGTGGGCTCGATTACCGGCCATAATGGCCGCATTTTGATGGGAGCGAAACGCAAGAACACCCGTGTATTTAGATTTACGCACACGTTAAGTAACATCCAAGTGGTCTAAATTTATTCGACACTCCACCCACTGCGGTGGTCCTCGTGATTATATAATGCTTTTAAGGCATTAAGGCTCGAAAGTTATTATAATTATATCAACGCGAGCGCTGTGAAACGAAACTCGCCATCTTTGCATTACCCAGACAAGCTCAACTATTGTTATTAGCTTATTCTTCGAGGTTTCGAAACCCTCTGTATTCTTTTCGGATAGTTGTAGGATGTTTTACACGTACTCACGCTGCGAAAACAAAAAAAAACAAAAAAAGAGAAATATCTGCAAGAGATACGACAAGGTGGATCGTATGGAATTTATTAAAAATAACAGATGCGTGTGCCATCTGCATGATCTTTGTCGTAATACAATTATGTTCGGAGTGAGCTTTTGTTAGAGTTTCAGCCGAAGCTGCCCTTAAGGTGACGTGACACATTGCTTTGAACGAGCGTGATATATTACATAGTCTGGTGCTTCGTCGTGGCTCTTTTCACACAATAGTACACATCACTTGAAAATTTTGCAGCTATTGCCACGCGCACTTTTTTCGAGTGTCTGTGCGTGTTTGTTTGTTTGTTTGTTTGTTTGTTTGTTTGTTTGTCATCCAGACTCACTATTCGTTTTGTCGTCTGAAGCAAACGACAAACCGGGTAAAGAGAAAAGAAGCTAGGCTATCGACTCGCTTGCGAACTCTCTTCTGTTTTCGAACCTTCTCTCCGTGCCGAAAAAAAAATGTCGTTAGCCATCGATTTCATGGGAACGTGTCATGGGAGTGGGTCTAGGCCGAGTTCTTCCATGGAAGTCATTACAAAGAAGAAGGCACTCGGTGCTTCGCTCTTTCCTCTTGGATGGTCTAGTCGGAATGAGACAGGGGTAGTCCTGTTACCATTGCAACCTATCCACAAAAGAGCCTCTGAGCCGGTGCTAAGGCGTGCTCAATAGAATGGTGAATAACGGAGCACCTGTGCAGTAACTTAAGCGATAACATTGTTTATGAGTCGTCGTTTTGTACAACATCCAGGTGGCAAAGTTCCCAATATTGTTACTTGGTGAAACTGTGCGATATTTTAATAAATTCTGATCGTGCAGTCCTCGTGGATTCAAGTGCGACGTCAAAAAGTTCAGTATAACGGCTTGTGCGAGCAACTGTTTAAGATGACATGCCACTGTGGAACTCGCTGCTAAAGATAAGGTTGACTCTGAGGTAAGGGTGTGAGTTAAAATCACGCCGTTATCATCTTAGCTGGAGTCTGTGGAATTGAAAGCATTGCATTTTTAAGCTTTAAATTGTCACACTCCAATCTGTGAGGACTTTTAACATCCCAAGCTTATAGACCATTTTTCGCAGCTAGTTTGTTATGCAAAACTAGATGGCGCCACCGCACCGAAGCGCCACGGCCTTCTCCTCGGTGGCGCGGCCACGGTGTGGCGTGTGGTGGACGTTGCTCTCCAGCTATAAACGTTGCTCCAGCCTACGCCTGGAAACAGTGGTGGTAGTCATTCTTGAAGAAGGAAAAAAGGCACCTGATTTCTGTCGGCTAAAGGCGACATGGTGCGGTGCCTAAGAGAGAAAAAAAAAGAGAAAAAACAGGTGGCGTGGAATATGCGCTGCATCCGATTCACTGGCCTTCAACCTAGGAGCGGTGGCGGTGAATCGGCCGGCCATCGGTGACAGAGAAGAAGTGGAAAAGAGCAGGCCATTATATCAAGTGTTCAAACAAAGCAGCGGCCGTTCGCCGCTGCGGTAAACCATCTATATCACTCCTTAAGCCAGTGAGTGCCGTGCTTCAAGATATATAAAGTGCTCAGTACGAACGTTTGGTGAGAAGCGAAGGCATTTGGTGGGAAGCGTGCAGTACGTATCACATAATAGCTGCCTGGTTGGGGTATGACCGAAATACTCAGAGAAATCCAAGAAGAACTTACATTTTCGCGAGCTTTACATAGTGTAATTCGAGTTGTAGTGATTATAACCCGCGTTAATACTGCATGACAATGTGCTGTGCATGTACATACAGTCGCTCATCCCTTGTCGATGGTTCTTCGACACTTCTTGCAGGTGAGCTGTAAGGTAAAGTGATGAGAACCACCTACGGGACTGTGCTCTTGTCCGTTATTGTCGGCGCAATGGCACATGAGCAGTTCCTGCTATTGCGACGCAGGAGAGGGGCTACGGTGACTACGACCACGCAACAAAAAGGGTATGCCTCTGTTTCTGACCGCCATACGTGGACTTTCGTTTGTGTGAATATTTGTTTTCTGTGAACTGTCGTGCTCTGCTGGACCCATTTATTATTGAAGAACTGGGTGTATGAATGTGCTTCTGTTCATAAAAAAAGGAAAAAGAAAGGAGGAAGCATTACGTCACACGAGTGAAGCCCACCTTGTCGGCTCAACACGTGAGCGAAACATCAGAGCTTGAGGTAGCTGTTAGTACAATCGGTGCTGTTCCATCTTTGAACCACCTGCGTCAACCGGCCGGTTTGCGCCGGACCGGCACGTTACGATTAAAAGATACAGGGCGCCATATTCCGAAGTATCGTCAAGTCTCGTTGCTGGCGGGAGTTTGCGCAAAAGGTCATGTGTTGGGCCGACAATGCTGGCTTCAAAACGGCACGGCTTGCCAAGGCTGCACACATGACATCCCGCTTTCTCCTTTCTTCCTCCATGCTTCAGTGGGCCTTTGTGAATTATGCAAGCGAAGAGATCTGGCAGGCGCCACGCATTAGCACCAACCACTTCTTGTATAGACCCTTTCACTGTTTACAAACACAGCCCTTTGATGACATGCGGTTTCATCCACCGATGTGCCAAAATAGCATCGGTGGGCAAGAAGAGCTTTAGATACCCGCTGATTTTCTAGACTTTCTTGCCCATATTTGGCAAAACATATTCAGCTAAATGTTTCTTTGATCTACATAAAAATTACAAGAAATTTCCTTTAACTTTGCACACGTTCCTTTTATCTGAAAAACTAAAGAAAGACGTTTCTTACATTTAAAATAAACTTGAAAACAAGCTTTCAGTTTCAACATTAGAAGCTGGTAAATGAGGTGACCGTGAGTTTTCTGGGGTACAACGCTTGTGACCTTGAAACCGTCTATACACTTAATAAAAAAAATTGAAAGACACTTTTAATTTATTCATGTGTGAAATTTAACGGCCGAAAACCACCATATGATTATGAGAGACGTCGTAGTGGAGGGCTCCGGAAATTTCGACCACCTAGAATTCTTTAACATGCGCTCAAGTCTGAGCACACGGGCCTACATCATTTGCGCCTCCGTCCCAAATGCAGTCGTCGCAGCCGGGATTCAATCCCATCACCTGTGGGTCGGCAGCCGAGTACCTTTGCCGCTACAACACCGCGGCGGAGCGAAAATGGAACTTTTACATTGATTTTCTCGTCTATTAATAAACGTGCAATGGGAAAATTAACAACAATACACTTTGCTGCCGTTTAGGCGGGGACCTGTTCCCCGAAGCACTGAGTATAATAAAGTTGTTGCTCTCTCTCTCTCTCTCTGTCTCTCAGATAAAAATTTAGTAATCTAAACCAATTCGTAGTGGCACCTTAGCGTCATTTAATGTACCCGGGTGCGTTCTTGCCGCAGCGCCGAGCCTCGGAACGTGATGCGCATCGAGGAAGGCGACGTCGCCTCGTTCACCTGCGCGGCTGCCAGCCACGAGCCGATGCGCGTCGAGTGGCGACACAACGGCAGCCTCGTTCGGCACCCACCACCGGGAGACGAGAGGAACTCTTCGAAGTCGTCGCTTCGCGTCTGGCACGCTCCCTTGAGTTCCATGTCCGGGGCCACGCTGACGCGCAGCCGCCTTCGGCTGACCAACGTCTCGGCGAACCACTCCGGCGAGTACGCCTGTCACTTCAGCGACGCCCTTGGAACACTTACACGCCGCAGCCATCTCGTCGTGCAGCGTGAGTGATGGCGCTAGTGGCCCACGTGACGCATGCACTGCTCACGATGCAGCTGATGTGTATACCGACTGTAACAATAGACGTCGAAACGCCAACGGGTATGCTTCAGAAAAGCTGCTTCTTGGCCTTATTGGTTCTGGCTGCGTCGCGTGTTTACCAACAAACCACTCGAACTATAGGGGAATGAAACACAATCCCTGTTTGTGTTCCTCTACCTCATTTTTGCGTCTTGTTTAGCCGCAAATGTCGTATAGTACAATGGAGCCAGTGGTATTGTGCGGAATGCGGCACGAAATGTAACACAAACCTAAGCTGTGTTTTTTAATACACTTCCAGCAATAGCAAAGGTCACTCTCATATAGTTATATAAGGTTTAGTAAACCACATAACAGAAAAACGGGAACTCGCATTTTCGAGAAGCTCCTCAACAATGTGTCGTCGGGACCCCGTACAATTGGCAAGACTTAATTGGAAGTAGTTTTACCATCATCGGTGAAGAAGAGCTACCACCATACATCAGAGTTAATGAAACCAAGTAAATACATATGTTTTAAAGATATGGTTGCTAGCAAGCAGCTTTTCGCCGCACTCTCTCCGCTGCACTTCAGAAACGTGACGCAAAGTGCTAACTGAAACGGGCAAGCAAGACACAAGGGACAAGTGCTATACTTTAAACTATGGGTTGAAAGTTCTTGGAAGTTGCTGAAAGTTGAACGTAGTGCTCGCCCCGTTCTGTATTTCTCGTCCTTGTGTGTTTGCGCTATGCCATCTTTCGGATATAACCAACTAGCCCAAAAGGTCATGTTGACTCACTCCCTGCGATGTCGAGTGAGCCTCAGCTGTTTTGTCGAATGAGCACTTGTGTGACGGAAGTGTCTGAAAGCGGCTCTAAGAGGTGACTGAAGCGTTCCCGACAACGTAATGCAGTAACAGCTAGAGAACAAAGCGTTACTGGTCAGTGGACAAGCCTATTTTCCACAGATTACAATATAGACTCGCCCTTCATTAACCAGCTCACATTTCACTTGCCTGTTCAACGAGAAAATCGGGCATGAAGTCGTATATTACGTTTTGTGTTCTTTCTTTTTTTTTACTTTTTGCACCTGTCATCGGTATATAGACAACTTGCTGGACTTTGCGTGATATTAGCGTTGCTGTGTTGCACGGGCTTCAATTTTAGACTCTACGTACATTTCTTTCCCAATAGATCTTTAATTTGTTAAATGGTACAACATCAGCAATGACACGTGCGAGGAACACAAATGTTAACAACAATACATTTGCAGCCGTTTAGGCGGGGACCTGTTCCCCGAACCACTGAGTAGAATAAATTTGTTGCTCTCTCTCTGTCTCTCAGCTCCCTCTCTCTGTTTCTCTTCATGTCAGTGGATGTTACACTGGCACCACTTCCTAATCAGAGCCAACTCTTCTCACTGGCAACAATCGGAAATCTCCGGTTCAGATTGCCAAACGCGTGCAGATATTTCGCCGAGCATTCAACGAGTGAAGCCACCTATCTCTGGTGGGTCCAGATTTCATCATCACTGTCGGCTTTGCAAAAGCTAATATTACTTGTATTATCCTTATATCATGGAAAACTATGTTTCAGCATTGGCAGAAGGATTGACAGCACTAATGTAGCACGTACGTTCCCATATACTATAAGTATTCCTCGTGTAACAGCGTGCCGCGTTAGGCTATGACACCACAACCACCCAGAATTTATTCGGGATTTTTTATATTATCCAGACTGACACTGTCCAGACACCGAACCAATGTGCGCAGCTGTTCTCTTTTTTTTTTTTGCGTAAAACGCAGCATGCAGCGTTTCTCCCAGCAGCGAAGTAATTTGATGCTACTGCCAGAGATCATATCTATGCATACCTATCTTGCGAGCAAAGTGGAAAAAAATGTGAACCATTCTATCTCGTGACGGGCGGCTCGGAATCCGTTCCATCCTACGCCTATATGAAAGAGGAGACTCGCTCGTGAAAGAATGGTGGATTCTCTTCATGTCAGCCCACCTAAGTTGAAGGTTCACGGGGGGTAGGCACTGACGGTACCGAGCAAAATTCTACTGAAGATATACACTGCGATTCTACAAAAAAAAACTAAACGGAAAAGACGCGTGGACTATCGTACTCCGCGTAGCTTCTCCCTTCCATTTTCGTTTTCTTTTGCTCTTTTTTTGTGTGTAGTTTCGCGCTGCAAATTTTCAATATGGACTACCCAGTGGTGTGATAATCTCGGTGGATGCCACGAATGTATGTTGTTGGTTTAGGCTCTTAAATGGGTCGCTGAGCTCCTAGCACAATGAGGCCAGAGTGCTAACGATTGTCGCTTTCGTATACGCTCGTCACAAACTGTCACGAGATGTCCCAGCGCTGCGTGGTCAACACGAGACAACATTGGCACCCCGTGAAATCTTTCCACTGGCCATGCTACTCTGTAGCGCCAAAAAAGCGAAGTGCATAACTTGCATGCATCTGTTTGTGCATCGCTAATTATTCATTGACACCAACGTGGGTATTCACGTGTGCGAACGCTTTCTACGGAATGATTTGCTTTCGTGCTGTCTTAAGTGGCTCCATAAAGAAATGAATTTGAAGGTAGAGACAGTTGATGGTGTTCGTGGCTTTTACAACAGAGCTGTTATGGTCGAGGAATGCTGTGTAGCGTAGACAGGCAAGTAATGTTAAAGTGTGTAGCGCATGGGACACGGATACGAAATATAGAGACGTAGACGGTGCGAGCGCTTCTGCTGTCCGCGTCTTCATCCTTAGTATCCGTGTCTTATGTGCTACCCATTCGAAGATACGCACCTTAAAGCAACATTCCAACTTGCCACTCTTATAAAAAAAATTGATCATTGCGAACTGGCATACACTCAGTCAGCGCCCAAAAGCTCAATATGATTGGTCACGAAGACCAATCATAGCAATCCCCTATCGTTGTTTGCAACCCGTGTGTTTTCTTGATAACTTTTGGTGGACCATTGCGGTGAGCAGTGTGATTTTTCTCATTTCTGTGGCAGATGCGAGCAGTAGGAGTTTTGGTGTAGTTGGTGTTGAGTAAACTTTATTTAGCTCCCAAGAAGGTTCACTGGAGACACCGCATCACCCGGTTAGTTCCACGTACATCACAGCTGTTGCGTGTGTCGTAGATAGAAAGACATCGCAAGAAAGAGATAGTGAGGTATAGAAAAAAAAAAGGAGGCAGCAATCAAATATGTTGCAGGTGATGGAGCGATCACAGAGGGAGAGGCAGAATAAGAAAGATGTTCAAGTACATAGAGAAACGATCAGAAAAAGAAAGGAAATAAAGAAAGAAAAAGATAGAAAGAGAAAAAACAAAAATAGAAATTTACACGTAAAGGGACACACGTAGAAAGAAAGAGATGCAAGAAAGATACTAAAACAAACACGATAAAAACGCAGCGATGCGTAGGCATGTGTATAATGGTAGCAGGAGGTGGAAAAGAGACATGGAAGAGAGTATAAATTCTGCCAAGTCATTACCCACCTGTGATCCATCACTAACTGTTTTGGATTCCCTTGACCATGGGCGCAGCCAAGGAAGGAGGAGGGTTGTACGAATACCCCTTCCCCCCCCCCCAAAAATATTCAAGCTTGCTCGCGTATCTATTATACATGCACTCATACAAAGGCACGCATACAAAGGCGCCCCGGAAAAAAAGAAATAGCTACGTCCTTGTCCCCGAACGAAGTATGTTTTGCTTCAGGCGCTCTGTTTTTGACAAATACGCATGAAATTTAATAAACCTTCACCAGATGAATGTCAACATCAGGTTTACCGCCATTTCGAAAGTTTCCAAAGGCTCATTGGGTTCACTATTAAGAGAGAGAGAAACAACATTTACTCACGCATCCGGCTTGCGGGAAGCCACCGGCCACGAAAGCGGGTATTCCCTATCTGAAGACTATGGCTAATAGTCCTATAGTCCCAGGGCCTAGATCACTCTTGACGCGCGGGAAAGCGGGGGTACAACTGAACACTTGACTCACCGTGTGTTCCGAGTGCTATTACACTCAGCCCTGGTCATAACGTGGTCGGTTTGGTACCCAGCCACTTGGGTTGCGTTCAGATGTAAAGGAATTTATAAACTGTCGTACGCCTTGCACTATGGGCTGGTTTAGTGTCGCCTGGTGATTGAAGTTCTTCCGGAATATTTATTTCAGTGCTCCTACTACATCAAAGCGTATTTCGTGAAATTGAAACGTAGAATGAGATTGCTTGGTACAAACACTTATCAACGAAAGTTTTAGGGGCGAAGCTCCTTAAAGCGTCACTCGTTCGTCCCTCGTAGCTGTTGTAGTGTGTAACAAGTATACCATTTTGACCTCCAAGGTGGTGCCGGTGAGAGATTTCTTCTGTGTGTTGTTGAACAATGAAAATAGTGCTCAATTTACATGCCAATGGCTGCTAATGGGGAATGAGAGACAGGAGCATTCGGCTTTTAGTTAACGCGCACGCGGCGATCCCCATTAGCAGCCATTGGCATGTACATTAAGTACTATCTGACAAGAAAGGGTTGCTACGTTATTTTCGCTGGGTGTAACCTCCTTTGTTTTAGAAAGGTTTAGCGAGCGTTGAGCCGAAGTGCCGTGAATACAATGAACTAGTATATACCATGAATGAACTCGAGGTAGTTAAAGGCGGGATTTAGATACGAAGCGCGAGCCGTATGAAAGTAAAAGCCGAATTCTCCTGTCACTCATTTCCCATTAGCAGCCATTGGCATGTACATTGAACACTATCTGACAGAAAAAAGTTGCTACGTTACACTTGCTGGCCGTAACCTCCTTGGTTTTAAAAAGGTCTAGCGAGCGTTGGGCCGCAGTGCCATGAATACAGTGAATTAGTATATACCATGAACTCGAGGTGGTTAAAGGTGGGAAGTAGACCCGAAGCGCAAGCCGTAGGAAAGAATGCGTGTGCTACCTTTTGTTTAGTCCTTGGAATGTCCGCTGGGTGGCAGTGCTTCTATATGGGGAATATATAATGAGAAGATGCGAGATGGTGGTACTTGGAGTGTTGAATAGATGGACGAACGGACACACAGACAGATGCATGGATGGAGGCATGAACGGACGCAGGGGCGGATGCATGGACGAACGCAGGGACGGACGCAAGAACAGACGCACGCACGGACGGGCAGATGGACGCATGGACGGTCACACATACGGACGCATGGACGGACGGAAGCCAGAACGAATGGACGGACGAATGCTTCGCCCCACTCTCAATCATTCACTCCGTGGATATGCTGCCAATTTTTTTTTGTTGCACTTTGCATTCCCCCTAAAATTGAAAGAAATAAAATTATGACGACAAGTCTCGAGAGAACTTGTCAATTTAAGATGTAAATTTGGGTTAGTTTGTTTATATTCGCATAAAACAGTGCCTCAGACAACAACAGACCTGCCGAGGTGAAAGAGACGTATACACGAAGCGCACAAGGGACACAGCGCTTTGCGCAAAGGACGCAGCAAGTTTGCGCAGGACCCACCTGCGCAAACTGATTAACTTCCACAATTTAGCTTGTTAAAAGATCATTGTATTTACTCCCTACACTAGATTTCTTCGATACATCTCAGGGGATGCATACTTTGAAGTATATGGTTAAGCAATCATTCTTGCCATTCCGTTTAAGCTGTTCTGATGGTGGCCCACCTGAACTATGTCCCGTAATTAGGTACTATGGAAGTGGTTATCTTTTGTGAACTTGGCATCGATAAGCGGCGAATAGTTCTTCATAATGAAAAAAAAAGTTGTTGAGAGCGTTGTGTGCGTGCTCTTTCTGTGTCATGTGATTCCTCGCAGTGTTACTTGAAACGTTTACGACCAACAAACCCACCTTTTTGCCATCATAATAACAAGTGCGCAACCATCTGTGTGTAAGAGTTTGTGTTTTTCTCATTGTTTCTTTGTGCAGCCAAGACTCCTACCTCGCCTGAGCCTGAAGGAAGTCAGTGTAGACCTGATAGGCAATGCTCAGACACACGCAAGCTGTGTGATGGCAATGGTCCCTGCCAATGCCCCGATGGTTCCATTTCGAAAAAAGGAGAGTGCCCAGCAGCTTACAAAGGTAAGTGAGACATCGTCGAAGCTTCGGCGTGATGACTTTTTTGTGATGACGTCAGCATCATAAAATTCAATAGAATCAAGGCAAATAAAATAACATAATTGGTGACACAGTGACACTTTAGCGGCAACTACAATATAAATGCGTCTTCGGTCTTACACGAGTTAATTCTCGGCGCCATCTACAAACTCTACCTAGGTTCATCATTTCATGCTCTTGTCTGGTCTTTCTTAAGCAGACATCCTGAAGGTTGCAGAATAGGAAACAAAGAAAATGTAGCAGCAATGCACGTGTGGAAAAGGGCCGAGCGAGACAAGCTGAATGCCATCATAACGAGGGAGATCAATATCGTGCTCGGGCTACCAAACTATACACGCACTGGCAGACTCGTGCAATTGGTATTCACAATACCCTAAAAGAGATTGCAGAAGCGCAAGAAAGAGAATTGTCAGACTTTTCGGCACCCTGCAGGGCCGGCAGGCGACTCCTCATAAAGATGGTTCTCCCGCCCATCAAAATTGAAGACACCTACCAGGGCCTGACGAAAGAGCAAGAAGACAATCATCATGTCCCCGCTCCACACAGCATCCATTCCCAGTGGAATGTGGAAAGAAGGAAGGCCAGGGTGGTGGTGCTCCTATGTCAGGCGACACAAAACTTCCTGGCGGAAGCTGCTTCGTCGACGCTGTCCAATATGGCAACAGCAAGAGTTCTGCAGCAGCATCGATCGACCAGGGGTTCGACCATTAACGCTGTTTCGGTAGCATGTTCGTCGTCGTGTGCTGCTGAGCAAGTTCCCATTGCCTTGGCCCTTCTGAATGACAAACATGAGCACGTATTCAGTGACTCCGGGGCAGCCATCCGCGCCTTCAGCATTGACGCTGTATGTAGGGAAGCTTATCGCATACTGGAAGTCAAAAGCGTCACCGCCCCCAGTCTCGCGTGGTTCCCCCCTCACATGGGATACCTCAAAGGAGGCCCCACAAACCTGAGCGAGTTGGCCCACTTCAGACGGATGAGGTCTCACTTTTCGCGACCACAGAAAACTCCCCCGCCAGCCCGCAGTTGTGGAAAACAGAGGTCATCCGACTGATTATAAAGACGTTACACAGCACATTTATCTCAGTGCGAGAGACTTCCCATCTTCTTAACGAAAACTTAATCTGAGCACAGGCTTTGACTCTCCGACTTCTGCAGACGGGTTCGTATCCCAGCCTGGCTTTACTGCATAAAGTTTATCCCGACATTGCAAAGCTATCTGAGCATATTCACCTCGAGTTCTTCCAACTATGGCTAGGCAAACACGACAGCACAAACCACATGTAAAAATTGAAAAAAGAGCACGTGAGAAATAGAAATATAGAGAAAAATCGGGAAGATATAAGAAGAAAATTAGAAATAGAGATAAGTACGATGAAACATAAATAATTGAGAAGACAAAAATAAATAAAGAATGGAACAATGGGAAACTCGAAGAGAAACAAATAGGGCTATCCAGCTTCGCACTTCCTTCAGGCCTTCAGGCCTGGCTCCACTAGTGTGAGGCTGCCTTAGGTTTTATTAGCCGTAGTGGACTAATTATCAGACAATTTAGTATTTATACATTACGAAAAAATTGCCTTTTTTGTGTCCCTTTTATGCGAAGCGTCATACCAGTGGCGATTTTCTAATCCTGTCTTTCCTTTCTTTTTTTACAGGTCCACACTTAGCGAGCATCCTGGCCTGGGTTTCAAGCGTTGTTGCTGCTGCCGTCTTGCTCGCAGCGCTCGCTGTGCTGGCAATGCGTAGAATACGCAGGTAAGTACGTGCACAACCGAACTGCGTTTTGTGAATTTCCTGCGATTTTCAGTAGTTTCTTTAAAAACAATGGTGCGAACTGAAATTTACGCTTGACCAAATCATTTATAAACAAGAATTTAGGATGGAAAACGGGGCATCAAGGGAACATACACTTTAGTCGCTCAATGAGAAAGAAGAAAGCAAGCACATTCGGAAATTATTATTAACGCTGAGCTAGACCCGAACTTCGCCACATTGGCAGAAGCTCTGGCATGACCGAAAAGCCATGGTTATAGTTTTATATGTCACTGAACTTCACTTTCTATCAAATTATTTATCATTTTTCATGCACACTGCAGAAGGACGCACCATAGACTATTACACCTCTCGTGGCGTTCCACAGTGTGGGGTTCTCAGCCCGACTTTAACTTCACGATTATTGGACTTGCCCGAGTTTTGCCTCGTTCATTCAACCTTTCTGTGTATGCTGATGACATCTGCATCTGTGCTTCGACAGTGACGCGACCCCAGGTACAGGCAAGGCTCCAAAAAGCAGCGACTATGACGTCGAAGTATCTCCGTGCTCGAGGGCTGAGAATTCCCCCGAGAAATGCACCTTAGTTCCTTTCACTCGCAAGGCGATGTTCCGGTAACTGGTACCCATCGAGAATGTTAGAATTTTGTATACGAGATGTCATCGATCCCTGGGAATCATTATTGACAGAGATATTTCGTGGAGTGCTCAGATCGCGCACTTAAAGAAGAGGCTCAGCTCTATCGCCCATGTAATGAAGTTTCTCGCCAGTAAAACTTGATGAACATCCGTGTCAGCCATGCTTAAACTGTACAGAGCGCTCTTCTTGGGGTATTTTCGCTATACCACACCCGTGCTTTCAAATGCCGGAAAAATCAACATTCGGGTCCTGCAAAGCATTCAAGGCCGAGTTCTTCGCACATGCTTGGGATTGTCCAGGCGTGCTAACACGGTTGCAACTATTGCCATTGCCAAAAACCACCCGAATACAACCTACATAACTATCGATATACTCCGGGTGCATATTTGCCATATGTCCAGACTGCCTAACCACCACCTTACTAACCTGCCACTGGATAGACCAAAGGCACAGTTCTTCGGAGTTGTTGCGGCTAACAAGCATTTCATCTCCTGGAGATTCTCACCCGCAGTCATACCGCTATGCTCCGAGTGGTGCCTGCAAAGACCTCCTGTACACGTTGAAGTGCCGGGGATAACCAAAAAGGCTAGCTTGTGATCTGCAGCCTTCAAGCAAACCAAAAAACCTTTTGCATATATCATACGGAAACCAAACTCATATTTATGCAGACGGTTCAGTCTCGGGAAGTTCGACAGGCGCTTTTGGGATTCGTCTAGCTTAATCACCGTCAAGTTTAAGACTTTACACGTCACAACATTTACGGGCTCTGAACTCGCTGCCCTTCTAGCCGCAATTATATTTGTTGCGCGAGGATCTCCTGCTAAGTGGGCTCTCTTCTGTGACTCCAAGGCGGCCCTTCAATGTATGCGAAGTCTACAACGCGGGAACTACCATCATATGGTATCTCAAATTAATAAAATCTGTCATTGCGCCACTAACAAAGGACATGACATAATCTTTCAGTGGCTGTCCCGTCACTGTGGGATCGATGGTAACCACCTCTCCGACAACGCCGCCCGTTGTGCCCACAGCAGAGCACCCAGACTGATCATACCCCTGTCAAGGTTCGATGCTGCAAAAGAACTTCGCCACATAGCGCATAATACCACACTTATGCATTCGAATCTTCAATCGAACTCTACTCGACGCCCATAGAACCTCACTTCATTACTCCAATTACAACTACCATCAAAGACTTCGCGACGGGACTCTGCAATGCTGTGTCCGCTGTGGGTCGGTGTTGCTTTCACCAATTCATTAAGGTATCGCATTGGTATGGCTGACTCCCACAAGTGTGATAACTGCCATTGTGTGGAGACTTTCTACCATGTCCTGTGCCATTGTCCCAACTTTGAAGAAGATCGCCGGCTGAATGATCGACCCTTTACGCTGGAGAAGATCTTGGGAGCGTGGCCTTCACGTACTTCACCCCAGAAAGCCACACGAGCCCTCCTACAATTTTTGAGGGCAATGTCACTGTGCAACCGCCTGTGAAACCTGAACTGTGTGTGCGGTGTGTGTGTTATGTGCAATGTGTATCTCCTCCTATTTCTCTCTTTTTCTCCCTCATTCCTCTCTCCCCCTTGTAGGGTAGAAAACTGTACTTAGTCTAGTTAACCTCCCCACCTTTCTTTTTTCTTCTCTCTTTCTGTCTCCCTCTCTTTCTTTCTCTATCAAAACCAAGCAGTCCGCAAAAGTGGGCAACTTCTTTTTCCGAATAGTGTAGATAGATTAAGATTATCGCGTTCTATTGCTCACACTGCAATTCTGTCACTTTTTTTTACGCACTGCAAACGTGTTCGATCACGCATTTTCAAACTCTACTAGGAGGTGAACCTCTTGCAGTTCCTTTTGTGAAGAGTAACTGCTCGCAGTCCTCATTAGATTACGTCTGGGGAAGTAATCGTCCCAGCACGGTACCATTTATGAACCAGAGCCCTTTAAAAACAAAGAAGAATGATGAGAGGTCAGATAACATGGTGCACGGCTGTGTGGGAGAGTTTTGCGTTGCTAATTGCTGCCTACACAAATACTGAAAGAGGGCTTGCGCACTTGTCTATCAACAGTTTTTTTTTTCACCAAGGACGGAAGCTATGAAGTTGCAAAATAACAAAATTAGCAATGTTTAATGGAATGTGGCCAAAGACGAGGTGGCACGTGTTTTTTGCAAAATAGATTCAGTCACGCATAAAATTTACTCCATCCAGTTAATTTCCTACCACGGCAAAACCAGGTGTCTTCTGCGTTTATTTCTGCACGCGAATCTACAGGTGGTCTGGGGTCACTCGCTCGCTGCCTTTACGGCCTGCGCATGGGGGGGTGGGGACTGTTTTTACTTGTCGCCGCAATCTCGTGGGGGCACGCGGAGTCAACTCACCGTAGGGCGCCTACATACGCCGCGGTTGACCGGATTACTTCGATATCGTCACCGGCACTGTGTCGGATCATCAAGTTTTAACTGTCCGGGGAACCGCACATCCTTCCCGAGGCTGTAGAGCATCTCCATCTCCATTTTTCTCTATCGCCTTCAGAAGAACCCATGTGAGCGCTTGGCCGCTGGGCCTAAGCGTCGACCCAGCTCGCCTGTGCGAGTACGGGTGACTAGGCCTAACGGCGGGACCCCTTCCACAACAATATGGACGCTAGCACTACGCCAACTGCTGACGTGACTACTACCGGATGCGTTCAACCTGCATTCAGCCCCAACTACACCCATGTTAACACGGAATCTCTCGACCTCGACGAGCTCGCCTCGGCAAGCGAAGATGAAGTTGCCGTGCACCATCCTACATTGTCTGCATCGCTGGGACCGGCGAGCGACACCGACGCCAACTGGAAACTGGCGATTTCCCGTCGCCAGCGTCAACGCCAGAAAAAATTCGACAAAGCTCGAGCGGAATTGATGCAGCCGGCCGGTCCTGCAAGCACTCCGCCCAGCCACGTCAACGCCGGGGCAGCTGCGGGTGCGAGCGCTCCTGCTGCGCAGGCAGACGCGGCCGGCGTCGCACCGGCGCGAACACCACCACCCGTAACGAAGCCGCGCCAGCTACGACGGAAGCTGCCGCCGCTTCCACGCACGGACATAAAGATCATCATGCGCCCGAAAAAGGGCCTGGCCATTCGGAACTTCACTACGCATCAAATCTCCCGAGCCGTAGCACTGGCGGGCGATTCTCGACAACATTGTACTGGTGATCATTTCATTATACGTACTCGCCCCGGGTCGAACATCATCATTGCCAGCACGCCACATGTTGAGACGGCCGAAATTCTTCGTCGGATCACCACCCTCACGCTTGAGAGGAAGACCTACGAATTCAATACCTATGTGGCGGCCCCTGAGGGCACCTTGCGGGGAGTTATTCATGGGATAGACCCTGGCACAACTCCGGAAGAACTCACCGCCAACCTCCGCGTGCGCACGCAGGGAGTGACAGTGCACAGTGCACGAATGCTTGGTGCTACCAAATCTGCCGTGATCACTTTTGAAGGCCCCCTTCTGCCCCGATATGTACTGTATTACGGTGGGGAGGTGGCCTGCCATCTGTACAAGCCGACGCGACAAGCCTGCCAAGTCTGCTTACAACCGGGGCACCGCTCAGACGTATGCCCCACGCCAAACACTCCCGTGTGTCGGCAGTGTGGTATCCTCAACCCCGTTGACGGTCACCCCTGTGCTCCCAAATGTCACATGTGTGGAGATGCCCACTTAACGGGCGCGAAAGAGTGCTCTCAGAGACTGAAGGCCCCGCACCCACGGCCACCTCCTCAACCAGCAGCACCATCCAGGGGCCGCAACCCCCATTGTAACCCGCCCACTCCCAAACGTAGGTGGTTCAGCAAGGAAAATGAGACCTCATGCAGCCACTCCCGCTCACGCTCAAGGTCACAGTCCTTCCCGCCCCTCCCTTCTGTGGAACCTGGCCAACAGCAGCAGCCACAGCAGCGACAGCATCCGAAGAACCAGATGACCAAGGGGCAGCAGCAGCAGCAGCAACCCACCTGTCAACAGTCCCAGCACGCCTCCAGCAAGCATAATGAGAAGCCCAATCCCACTCCATCAGCCGGTGCCGACAATAAGGTGAGCTGGTCAGCAAATGTAGATTCTCCCATCGCTCCACTCAATACCCTGTCCACCACATACGAACACCTTCTCGCGGAAAACATAAAACTCAAACAGGAGCTGGCAGCCGTCAGGGCACGTCAAGCAAAGGACAGTTCTCAACTTCATGCGCTAATGGCGCGTCTTGGATCGCCGCCCGACTCCCCCGAAAAAAAAAACCCCAACCTCCCCCAAGAGACAGAAGACCCCTAAAACGGCGCTATCAATTCCCGCTGCGTCGG